AAGAGGACCTCGCCGGAGTCAACCTTGCTGTGCTGGGGACCTTTAGAGAGTGCTTTGAGTGCTTCAACGACTTGAGAAGGCCAGAAGAGTGCTGATGACCGGAGAACCACCGGTAAAAACTCTAGAATGGAATTCAGATCCTCCCGATTCTCCATCCCGTTTCTTCACAGCACTGTATCTTCAACAAGGCTCCAAATCGCGAAGACTCTTGAGGTTTCTTGGAGAGAAGGGAAGTAAACATATAAATAGGTGTAGTTTGTTAAATTGGGTTGGGTAAAGAATGAGAGTGAATCGATTTTCAATGGTTTTGTATACAATACAACTTCACCTCATTATTTGAATCGGCAACGAACAAAAGGGAGCAGCTTGGGACACCCATTTCTGATTTCTACGAACAACGGGAAGCAGCCTAGCACGTAGCGATGTCGGTTTGTGCTTCTTCAAGATCAGTCCTCATCAGGGAAAACCATAAATATTTTAAAGAGTAAATTACACGAATGGTCCCTATGGTCCAGGGTAATTTGCACGTTTGGTTCCTAACTTATTTTTTTAACTCGGAAGGTCCCTACTGTTTGTTTTTGTTATGCGCTTGGTCCCTGTCTTACCTAAAAAATACTATTTTCCCTTGATTTATTTATTTATTTAAATAAACACACCCCAAACTCCACCCCTCTCATCTTATATTACCTACCTCAATTTTTTTTCTCTATTTAAATAATAGTATTTTTAGGTAAAACAGGGATCAAGTGCGTAATAAAAACAAACAGTAGGGACCAAGTGTGTAACAAAAACAAACAATAGGGATCTTCCGAGTTAAAAAAATAAGCTAAGGACCAAACTTGCAAATTACCCCAAACCATAGGGACCATTCGTGTAATTTACTCTATTTTAAAAGAAACTATCATGGCACTATGTGAGGTTGGATCACCAAAAAAAAAAAAAAAGTCTAGGGTTTCGTGTTAAACCCATACTTAACTCCAACCTATTAACAAGGATCACAGACATTGAAATATTGCAAATTCAGTCTTAATGTTATCGACATATTTTAGTATAATTATTATTATCGAGATAGGATCAGTTTTATTTAATGGCGGAACCAGAAATTTTGATATGGAGTACAAACATTATCAATATATTAGATGTAGTTATCCAATATCGTACATTAAAAAACATGTTATAATCTCTTTTGGAGGTACAATAACATGAAACATGTTTACAAATAATATTTTTTATATATAAAAAATAATTTTTTGGGGGTACTGTAGTACTTCCAACGCCCAATCTAGCTCCGCCACTAGTTTCATTTAATCATCGAGATAGAAGGTGTGAGTACATATTCAGAGTGATAAATGTGAACTTGAGAATACGGGGTCATAGGGCAACGCCCTGGGTGGGTAAACATGTTCCAATGGGCAATTGTACGTTTCGCAGATATTATTCTTCTAGGTTGATTATTTTTAAATCTTGAAATTTTAAGGTTTCGACTGACTGCGTAGTGTGGGAGGGTCACCACGTCATTTAATGCACCACGTCTTGAAAAAGGCAACGACGTGGCAAAGTAATTGGCCACGTCGTGGTGGCAGCTGAGTTCAAAATCCTAGTTATCAGGCATTGGATACTATTTAAGCAACCTTATGATTAAGGTTGTCCTCTCTATCAGCCTCTATTCCCCCAAAGTGTGAAACCCTATGTGTGTTATTGGTGTATTTGTGTGTGTTCTTGACAAGTTTAAGATCTTAAAGGTTCTTGGAAGAAGGGGAAGGTGCTCTAAAGCTTGTTGCTGAAGTTGAAGGCTGATCTTTCTTCATTTTTAGACTCCAGAAGGTATAAAGCTCGTACCTTTCTTCTTAATGAGTTACGTCTCCTGCTTAAGACTTCATTTATGGCCTTTATATGAGGATCCTTTGGAGTTGAAGCAACTCGAGGGCCTTGCATGGTGTTTGAGGTAGTCTCTAGACCTTAAGGTCTCATAAAGTTAGTTACTTATTCAAAAATCAGCCATTCATGGACCTTTTAGGTAATTTTTGGTCCTTTTAAGTGTTAGGGTTTGAGATGTTAGGGAATGGATAAATCAGAAACTTCCAACTTTATCCATGTATGACCTAACTCGATTCAGATTTGAGCTTTGAAGCTTTGGAAAAGAACTTAATGAGTTAAGTTGGTCAGACGTTACCACAACGCGACGTTATGTAGGCTACAACTTGGTGACGGGTTGAAACACGAGTATTCTGTCTTTTAGCCACCACAACGTGATCATTGTGTTGGCTACAACGTGGTGACTCGTTGATTTTGACCGTTGATCGTTGATTTTTTGACTAAGTTGACTTTAGGTCAAACTTTAAGGTTTTGGTCATAGGTTAAGATTTAACCTTTGAATGCATGTTTAAGTGGTCATTATGCCTGCCAAGCAAGAAAATGAAACCAGTAGACCCAACATATAAATGTTTCCAACATTTTCTTCGGTGTGTTAAATTTGGTTGCCACAAGAACCAATCATGTTATTTTGTCTTTCTCAAAACTTTCTTTAAATAAATTGCACACTTTTTTTATGAATTCATCCAAAGATTTTTTTATATTCTTTTTACAATTCTATTTTTTAGTTTAAACGTTTATTTTTTTATAATCTTTTTTACAAAATTAGTTTTTTTATGTAATTAATATATATATATATATATATATATATATATATATATATATATATATATATATATATATATATATATATATATATATATATATATATATATATATATACAAATTGTATTGTTAATTATACATACGCAAGTTTTTATGCAGCAACAAGTGGTGTGTCACTCATAGTTTTGTCTCATTTATTATATACAAACAATTTATATCTTAATTTTTAATGTTTATGTTAACATCCCAAAAATTGGATGTTTATTATGATAAAAAAAAATTAATGGAATGAGTTGAAAATGTGTAAATGTTGTCCAAAAATGATTAAGTGTCCACTTTGAGACCATGAATTCTATCCTTAGAGGCAAGATAAGGAGAAAGGGCAAGAAGGTAAATTGTAATGGACAAGAAAATGGAGCAAGATCAAAAAGAATCGAAGTCAAAAGGAGTTTATATGAGAAATCTACAAGATGAAAATTTCATGAATTGCTGAAGGCATCAACTTTGAAGACTTATATGTCAAATTGTAAATCGATTTAGAGGAGCCTCTACAAGATGACATCTTTATTATATCCAATAAAGAAAACGTAGAAAACAAAAGAATCAGGTTTTTTTGGAGTTAAGATGAAAAGTTATGACCAAATGAAAATGGCTAAAAAAATGGCAAAAATGGGTAAACACCTAAGTTCTCTAGCTAATAACTCGAAATGAAGACATATTTAGCCAAAGTTCATTATGAAGAAGTTATAAAGCTCTTTCCCATGTTTCCATAAATGTAAAGTTTGTTGAAATCCGATATCATATGAAGAAGTTATGGTTGTCACAACATAGGTCGAAAATGGAAGGGAAAAACATGAAAAGTAGTCAAGTGTTGGGTAACAACACACATGGCCATTGTTTATGCGAATGGCAGCGTGTGCAAGCTCCTCAGAAGCTGAATTTTTGACACGTATTAAAAGACACATAAAAGCATACGTGGTAAAAAAAATTAGGGCAATCAGAATTCGTTTGACCTATATGCTCACCACAATTACATCCAGTAACATTAATTTTTACATAAAATGCTCTCAACTTCTCTCAATCAACAGAACACTCTTCCTATTTACCTTCATCATATTTGAAGAAATTTATGAAGACTTAACAAGAATAAGTGGAGAATTTCCACATGCAATTGAGGATTTATGATCATTAAGCTTAAGGAAACAAGGTACTACTTATTTATGGATTCTTACAATTTTATGGAAATCCTTATGAGCCCTAAGTTCATCAAGGTTCATTTTGTTACCAAATAGTTTACAAATTGATAAATTTGTAAGAAATCAAAATATAGCTCCACAATTAATAAGAAATCTATCTTTCTATATAAATTAATAAAAACGTATAAATAAATAATTGAGATAAACAAAACAAATAGTTTCCTACACGAATCATTTCAGAAACAACCCATTATTACTCAAAAACTCAAAAGTCCCCCAAGGGTTTTATACACATTTTTTGCACACAAAAGAAAGAAACACACACACACACACCAAAATTACAAGAAAAATAATAATGTACAAAATCCTTTGAAATTGAGTTTTTTTTTTTCTCTTCAAAGTCTTGTGAACATTAAGAATGCAATAGAAAAAAACAGAAAAAGAGCAATGTTAAAAGTTAAAACTCGCTCATTCTTTCTTTGTTTGAAGCTCATTTTTCATCTTCTACAAGTTGCACATCATATCAACTATCATCGTTTCATTTCTGCAATAAATCAATATTTCAAACAAATTAAATTATCATATTATGTGTAAATAAAATGTAATATACATTATTTGAATTATCATTAATAAAGTTTAAGTTAGAATAAAAAATAAAAAGTTAAACATAATAAAAGCACTTTCTTGCATTTAGCCCCTTAATTAAAATAATAAACTTTTAAAAAGAAAACTTTTTTGTTGTTAAACTTTACATAAATGGAAGGAATCACATTCCTATCGGAATAGTTCATTCCATTCCATTGTTTCAAAACAAACACGTTTTTCTAATTCAAACAGAACGAACCATTCCATTCCTTCGTCAATTCCCTCATACCAAACACTATTTCATTGGATGGAATGGAATCGCCATAAACAATGGAACGGAATCAGCCATTCCATTCCATCGAAATCCAAACACATTCCTACCGGAATAGCCCATTCCATTCCATTGTTTCAAAACAAACACGTTTTTCCAATTCAAACAAAACAAACCATTCAATTCCTTCGCCAATTTCCTCACACCAAACACAATTTCATTGGATGGAATGGAATCGCCACAAACACGGGAATGGAATCAGCAATTCCATTCCATCCAAATCCAAAAAAGACATACCTCATCATTATTCATTATTCATTCCCCCCGATCTCTTTCCTCCCACCATCTCCAACATCACTTTCACTAGCAGTCTCCCACTCCGAATCATCACTCCCATACCCATCCCCACCACCACCACCGCCACCCCCACCCTCCTCACAATCAATCCCGCCATGTTTCACCGCCGCCTCCCTAAACAACCACGCGGCCTTCATCTGCTTCTTCACCAACCTCTCCGCATAATCCGGGACCTTATTCTGCCTACAATTCAAATCCGGATCCATAGAATTCGAACACTCATTTATAAACAAAATCGCATCCAACAAACTCTCCTTCGCCAACCCAATCATATCATACGCCTGGGCCCGCCTCCACAAGCTTTTCGCGTGTCTATTGACGGGATTATGCAAACAAAGGGCCCGCGTGGCATCACTGATGGCAGTCAAAGGTTGTTGCAACAAAAGGTAGCATTGGGCGCGATTACTGTATAAAACAACTCTTTCTTTTTTGGATCTTACGGGGCATAAGGAGAGGGCTTCTGAGTATTTTAAGGCGGCGGCTTGGATGTTTCCGGAAGAAAAGAGGGAGTTGCCTTCGAGTTTGACGACTAAGGCGGCGGCTTGTTTGATGTGGAGGTCTTCTTTTGGCATGGATTTTTCCCATTTGAAACGTTCGCGGGAATCGAGGAGGGATTCGATGTCTTCTTGGGTTCGGTTGCTGATGGAATTGCGGTTTCCGGTGGAATTGATGGATTCTTGGAGGACGTTGAGGATGGAATCACCGAGTTTTTTGTGGTCACCGAGGGTTTGGATTTCTGCTAGGTCCAGAACTGCTGGTGCTGCCTTTTCGATCACCTGTAAGGAATGGAATGTTGTGAGGTTTTGGATTGAGGATGGAATTGGAATTCGAGATTCCATTCCGGTGTGTTTGGTTGTTGAATGGATGGAATTCAATTCTGTCATCATCATCTTTATTTTTTCAATTTTTCTGAAAAAACCCTCAGCTTAGTCTTTTTTTTTCGGAAAAAAACCCTCAACCTTCTAAATGTTTCCAAAGAAATCCTCAGTTTTTTTAGTTTTTTCTGAAAAAACCCCTCACATTTTATAGTCTTTTTTTAGGGAAAAAAGACTAAAAGGGCTAGATCGGAAAAAAAGAAAAAAATGCAAGGTCTTTTTTTCATGAAAAAAATAAAATTGAGGTTTAATTCGGAAAAAAAAAAACACAAAATATAAGGTCTTTTATGAGATTAACCCTAAATATATTGAAATAAACAAAAAAAAAAATCAGATATATATATATATATATATATATATATATATATATATATATATATATATATATATATATATATAGTACTAAAAAATGGTTAGAATATAAACAAAAGGGAAAATTACAGGTAAAAAAAATAACATTAAATTTTGGGCGATTTTGCGGTTTTATTGCTTATACATTATCTTTTTTCCGATCAAACCATAAAAGTTTCAGAATTTTTTTCTTCTGAATTTACCATTTTGACCTGATATAACATTTCAAAAAGGTTAATTTGGAAAATGAATGAAACTTTTATGGTTTGATTAGAAAAAGATAAAAGTATTAGTGCATAAACCATAACACTGCCCAAATTATAATGTGTTTTTGTAATTTGCCCTGGATTAAAAAAAAAATTATAAATGAGTTAAATTTAATCTTGATAAGTTTATTAGATATTTACCTTATGGAAGGTATTAGGATCTTGAAGCAACCATAGAAGACAATCAATAGCCATATATTGCCAGTCATCTGAAGATCGTGCAATATTACATAAAGACTCAATTACCCCTGGGCAACTGCTAACAGGTCCTCTTCCAAATTTATGATGACAAATTGTTCTCAACAACCCAATACCAGCTGGTGAATTTTCATTCACAAGTCCACCCCACATTCCAGGAAGCTTCACAAGAAACTCAGGTTTACATATTGTAGAAAGAAACTCAGGCTTAAAAGCAAAACAATTTATAAGTTGAAGAGACCAACACTGTAATTGACTAGCCCATTCCTCAGCTTTCCTTGATTCCATCTCTACACCACCCATGCCACGTGTCAAAAGATCACAATGATAACTAAGTCTTCTATCAGCATACTGATAAAAGTGAGAGTAAACAATCTCAAGTGAACTCATTGCTAATTGTATACAAAGTTCAAGAATCTCTCCATGACTTGCAACAGCAGGGAAAGTGCTTGCATATGTAGCTAAATGTCCTAAAGCTCTTACAGCAACTCTTTGTTCAACCCAAGTTAATCTGCCTCTTAAAAGTTCAACCAAAGGTGGGATTACCCCTGCATTGACTGCAGTTTCTGCAAAATCTTCCATGTTCATGGTGTATGATCCGATTATATGTGCAGCATAATAAGGGATGTAGATGTTTTGATCATGAGATAGCCATCTGCGATTCTTTAAGCCTTTCCAGATGAGAGCTGACATGCATTCAAAGATACCTAATTCTATGAACTCTGGATCATTAGGATGTGCCATGGCTGTGTTCCAAAGGCCACTTATTGGGAGAACTTGACCATCATCATCTTGTGAAGGAAGCTCTCTGAAAAACTTCATGATGCTTGCTCTTCGTTTGTTTGGGTTTCCTTCTTTCATGACACAGAAAAAGCATCCGGGGTATGGGCAATCTGGGATGTGTTTTTCCATGATTATTGACTTGAATTGATTACTCAGAAAGTCAGAATTCTGTTACCATGAAGTTACTTTCTAGTGTCTCATAAACCACCAAATGTAAACTGCATTAGAAAGAGGTATAATCATATGAGGTTATGATCTTATCATGAACTATAAGTATGACACACAACTTCTCTTCCATGGTTACTCATGCAATATTGCAATGGAAAACTGTCTTTTACTTCCATATGAATAGATAGGTAGTAAACTGAAACCATACAGTGATACAGAACATGATATATGGAATTATGGAAATATTCTAAGCAATGTATCAAAGTAAAAGCAAACCATCGAAGCTTTGCAAATGCCATCAAAACACATCTGCATAGTTTCAGATCCAAATGATGAGCTTTAGGGTTGAAAAGTTCAAAAAGAAGATAATTTTAATTTTAACAAATGGTGAACTTTCAGTTTCATGTTGATTTCCCCCAAAAACCATGTCTAAATCACAGTTTACAATTAGAAAAATGTGACAAATCTAGAATGACAAAAGACAAAGAAAAATCCTAAATCAACTAAGGAAAATCCATAATGACAATCGAACAATGAATTCTAACAGGCTTCAACACCTATTAAAAGCTAACCTAAACGCGAAGAAAAAGTTTAACTTTTAAATTATGCTTCAGCTAAACAACACAATTCAGTAAATTCACATTGCAAAAGCAATTACTGAGTACGTGATGTTACCAAGAAATGTAAAAAGAGATCGAAGGGAATAGGAACCGACATCAGGATAGTAGTAATATCAGTAACATGAGTACCATCAGTAGACGTTCACTGCCTTGCCTGAGTTCTCACACGGCTGCAGAATTGACGACGGTTAGTAGTCGCCGATCTCGGTGGAGCAAGAGCGCCTGCTTCACTGAAAATGAGTAATGGGAGAGAGAAGGTTCGATTTGGGGAATTGCAGACAAGAGACAACCCTGGGGTTTTTACCGATTGCGAGGGGGTTCTTTCAAAAAGGCAACGAGCAAATGAAAATTTAGGACAAAATAAATTAATAGTACGTTTTTTTTCTCTATAAATATTTGAGAATTCTTTAAATTTGGAAAGAAATAAAGTATTGATTAATGTTATTAAATGACAATTTTGATATTTATATATAAAGATGTGACTAATCATAAAAAATTAAAAATGTCCATTTGATAAAATTGAATTGACTGCCTTTGATGTTGTTATAAAAAGATCGGGTGATTCTCAATTTGGTTTTTGTGAATTGCAAAATCACTAAAAGGGTATCTTCTATATATAACCTTTATTTTTTGGTTTTGTAGAGTATTTTACAATTTTGCTTGTTAAAATGTATAAAAAAATGATGGATATGAACTTTGGAAGGTAGATAGGTTGCTATAAAATGTTTACTAACTTAATGTGGTTAATGCAAGTTAAAATTTTAGATAAGTATGGAAGGAAACAAAAAGGAACCACTTACAGGAAATCTAAGGAGAAGCACGTAAAGAAAAGGAGTTGAAGGGTCAAACCGAGCTTTTCTAAAAAAAAACACCACCTTAGATTCATTGGTTCGATATTTTATGTAGAAGTCAAGTTTGGTGTTTGGTGTTAACTACATACATATTAGAAGTTTAGTTGTCATTTGTGAGAGTAGACGATGAAATTAACTTAGGTTGGGATTTTGAAGGATTTGCATTGCATTTTGATTATGATGATTTGGTTTTATGAAATTGATGAGGATATTTTGGTAATGCTTAGGCCCCGTTTGATAGTTGCTGACTGAGAAATTGCTGATTGAGAAAGATCTGTCTGAGTAAGAAATTCTGACTGAGTAAGAAATCATATTGTTTGATTGAAAATCTGACCGAATGTGCTGACCGGTGTAAAATGACCATTTTACCCTGATGCTATACACGTTTCTATGCAATATAATAATAATAATAATAATAATAATAATAGACATTAATAATAATAATAGACATTAATAATAATAATAATAATAATAATAATAATAATTTATACAAAAACCTCCGCCATAATAAACATTAAATATATTATTTTAAAGCTAAAACACAAAAAACCTTTTAGCTTGCTGGCAAACACCATTGCTCCTACAAGGGATACCCAAGTTCTATTCTTGTAGCCTTCATTAGTTGTGAATTTTTATCCAAGCCAAGGGTACTATTGGAAAGCCTTGTTTTCTTTCTCAGTCAGCCAACTCCCAACTTCTTTCTCGGTCAGACATTGCTTTCCGAGTCAGACGACAAGATTTTATCTATCAAACACCTTTTGTCTGACCGAGTCAGCAAAAATGTCTGACCTGACTCAGCCAGATGCCATATCAAACAAGGCCTTACTTTTTAGTATGCTTCTTCCACTAACCAAATTTGATTATACTCTAATGTGTTTTTGAAAATATTTTTTTGAGGTTTGATTTTGGGGTTGGGGGACAAGCCCTAAAATTGTTAACCTCTAGACTCTTTCTAGATTTTTCATGTCTTACACTTTAATTTTCATTTGTATTCATATCAGATTAATAGGTTAATAGATAAAGTTTGATGAAGAGCTTGGATATTTTAGAAGACATTGGCTTATTTAATGTCTATACTTATACTATTTCCTTTGAATTGATCGGTACTTCTAAACAATTTGAATAAAGTATGTAAACTTGAACATTGGGACTAGTTTTTCCTATTTAAATTGTTTTTTAGAATAAAAGTTGAACTTTGCTAAACTATTTTCAAATAGTTCATGCAATGGATATTTCATCGTTCGTTCTATGTATAGTTCCAACTAACATGACAATTGCTCCTTTACAAAAATCTCTCCAATCCATGGAATCATATTGTTTATATTAATGTAGATCTTTTGGAAGGGTGGCTAATATTAATATAGATCTTTTGGAAGGGTGTATGATGTTTGCTCAATTTATTTAAAAGGATTATAGAAATAAGAGACACAACATTTTTTGGAAAGATAAGTGGCATGATAACATGATTCCAAAAGGCAAATACCCAAGCTTTACTGGATCAAAGCTTAAAAAACCATTTAATCTCACATAGAATTCTACTGGGTGATTTATTTGAATTGGAAATGAAGTCTTGGGGATGTTTTGGAAAAAAAATGGGAAAATTTATTTGAGTTATTAGAATGTGACAAATTTTATTATTCTTTAGCCAAATGGGGGTAAATCGATGATATATGTTGTTTTTTCTTACTTAGGTAATTTGAGGATCTTACTAATGTTGCTTCTTTGTTCTCGATCCAATTGATGAATTCTAGTCTAACCGGATACTAATTAAACTTAAATGCTTCACTTGAAGGAGCTAAATAATCATATAGTCTTGTTCAGACATATTTTCTCATCCCCCTTATGCATTTTTTGTAGTACTAAGGAAGGAGAACAGTAACCATGTGTTTCTGAAATGTCATTTCACTAAGTACATTTGAATTAGGTTTTGTCCTCGTTAGGTTTGGGCTTTAGGCTATACAATTTGATTCATTAACTCTTACCCTTTGTTGGTATTGCTTTATACATCGATGATTTAGACCAGTCTCGAGTTAGTCTTGAGACAGTTCGGTTTTTTTAGACCGGTCTCAGAACAATTCAACCTTTTTTTGTTCTTGGTCATTTTCGGTCCGCTATCATAGTCTTTTTGTGTGTTTTTTTCGGTTCAATTTTGGGGTCTTCAGTTTGGTTTCAATATTTTTTGGTTTTTTGGTTTTGGTTTCAAGTTTTTCCATAAGCAAATCAGTGATTGACTCTGAAATGACACATGAAGATTTACTAAAAGTGATACACTAATATTTCTTAAAAGAGAAAAAGAAAGAATAAACTTTGGATTACAAATTCTTTTAGAATGGTCTTGGGTCAGTCTACTGTAGGTCCAATCTCATTTTAGATTGGTTCAGTCTCATAATTGTTTTTAGAATTTGTTTGAAGGCTTCAATTTTGTTCATGTCTAGGTGTTCTCTCATACAACACCAATAAATTCATGTTCCTCCACACAATGACATACTTGATTTTCTAGTTCATTTGGAAAGCTAGAAAAGCACTCATTTCTAAAAGGAAAGCATTTTCCTTAATGAAAATGGCAGATAAATTCAACTTAATTTGTTTTATTAAACATAGAGAAAAAAATGTTTTGCCTAGATTGGCACAATTGGTGTTGTTTATCCATGTTAGCTTGTTTGTAACATCCTGTTTCGAGAAGTTTCTTATTTCGGGATTATGGACAATAAAATAGGTCAATTAAAGGCCTTGGGGTTCAATGGAATAAGGTTTAGACCCTATTGGATGTTGATAATATTGGTTATAAGATCCAAGCTCTCGGTTTGTGTTTTGGAGTCAAAGGATAAAATGGGAAAAGTGATGTTTCAGAATTCTTTCATGAAATAAGGATTTTAGTTCGGTATGTTTTAAGTCAAGACATAATTAGATAGGATTGTGGGGCTTTTCAATACCTTTCAATGCATATAAAGAATGCCAAAAACAAAGAAGTTATGGTTGTTTGAAGTTGAAGAGGGAAACATGGACTTTTGATTATGCATGATGTAATTTAAAGTTACTCATGTCATAACGAGGATTTAATGAATTATACAGGGCGTAAATTACGTTACACAAGGCGTAATTTGGGCATATTAAAACCTTAAATCTTTGGTTTTGATCCCTATTTAAGAGCTCTAACTTATTGGAAAAACTCTCATTACCAGCCTCCATCACCTAAGATCATTCCTTGAGAAACCTTAGCCTCCTCTCATTTCTTTTTGAGCCTTGCCATCATTTGTGAACTTATTTATCCATTGGAAGGTTGAATCTTAATGAACAAGGTGGTGGCAAAGTGTATAGAATAAGTGTTTAAGTATAGATCCAACAAGATTACATCATTCTTGGACCATTGTGAGTAAAAAGCTTCCAACTTGCTCATTGGTTTCATAGATCTAGTCATTTGTCATATTTGCCACTTTTTGGTCATTTTAGGGCATAAAGTTTATATCTTGAAAGTTTTTGACCTTGTTATTGATGGGTTTTCTGGGTCATAAACAAAATTACATGTGGATGAAAAACACTTAAACCCTTGAGTTCACATGCAACTTATAAAGGTTTTATGTTTTTTCTATTAATATCAACTAACTATGAATATTAAGAAACCCTAGGAGAGAGGCTATGAAATCGAAATTCATATAAAATTAGGGTTACATACCTTTTGATTATTATAGTAAACAATCAAAGTAGAATCCTTCTTCTAGATCTTGGAAAGCTAGCAACAAAGGAATAGATGTCTCTAATGGCTTATAACCAAAACCCTAGTAGGAAGAAGACTTGAGTAGAGAGGAGGATGGAGAAATTTTTTGACTCTATGAAGGCAAGTAGGATAGGAAAAAAATAATAAGATCCAGGGCGGGGTTTATATATCTAAAGGAAACTTGATGCTAAAGCTATGGTTTTTGTGATAAGGCCCAGATTCGTTAATATAATAATCAACCTGCCTTATTTTCTTATCCTAAGCCTCATGAACAAAAATTCTAGGTTATTTCTAGCCAAATTTCGTTCACCCCTATCCCATGGGGTTCTAGAGTTTTCCTGCTTCGACTTTCAATAAATAACCAAATAGTCCTTGCACTTTTAATCAATTCAATTAATCCTAAAATTAATTCCATATAATTTCTTATTAATTCCAAATTAATTATTATTATTTATTATTAATACATTAATCATATAATATATTAATAAACTATTTATTCCAATTTGTTAATCATATAATCCTAAAATTAATTCCATATAGTTATTATTATTTATTATTAATACATTAATCATATAATATATTAATAAACTATTTATTCCAATTTGTTAATCATATAATAAATTGGAAATTCAGCCTCTTCCTCCAAAAGCCATTTTATCCAAATACTAGTTTTGAGGGCAACCCAAAAAGAACTTTGCTTTTAATTCAATAATATACCAATTTAGTTATCGGCTTAGACACCTTAATCTAATAGTCTTCCACTTGGATAAGTCTGTAACTACAATTGCAAG